ATCCTCGGCTTCTTGCACAGCTGCTAGAATTCGCGACTGCAGGAGCTTTTCGAAAAGTTTTCCGGCTGTATCTGGCATACACAGAGGTCTGTATGAAGATGCCAGGCTTCTTCCTGACTTTCATTTGTTGATCAAGACAAGGCGCGCTCTTTTCCTACCGCTATTACCACTACTATCACTTTTAATGCTACTTGTACTTCTAAAACTACTGCTGCTACTACTAGTGCCACTTTTACTTTTAGTACTTCTATTAACATTACTACCATTACTACCACTACTTCAATTACTTCTACTCTTAATTCTACTACTAATAATTTTGTACTTCTATTAAATAATTAAATACAATAAGATCCTTCAAATATTGGTTATACTATTACCATTTTAACTACCACTAATACTACTATTGCTACTACTATTACCTACTATTTTTCGATACCTTCAAATGAGAATAGCATCTACAGATATTTCTAATGTCCATTAAGTCCACAAACAGGATAAATGTATATGTATTTGTCAATAGCAATGCAATATACTTCTCTGTACGTAAATGTATGAGCACTCCTTTGGATTTCTCCATCCATTTCAATACATAATTAAGTTATTCTCATGCACATACATATCTACCTATGTATGTAATTACTTGTATTGGACAATACATATAAATCTATGCATTGAAAATATTCCGATTTGTGTACCCAGCAATCATGGCTTAAATTTGTATGCTATAAAATGACACGCCAAGGCCAGCAATACTTAAACGATCGACTTGGCAGACAAACAAACTCAGCGAGCAGCCAGCAAAGTGGGCAACTGGGCTACCGGGCTACCGGGCTACCGGGATACCGGCCATGCCACTGGTTAACCAGCCAAGCATACCAATCAGCCCTAAAATATTCAAAATAAAATACAAGCAGCAGGCAAACTATTTAGCTTATCCAGCCAGTCCACAGCCAGTCAGTCCAGGCAAAGGCACTTAGGGTATAGAACGCAGCGAGCGAGCTACATATTTACTAGCCATCATGAAAGTAATAACAAAACAACTTTACGTCATCATTGCCCGCTGAACAAGCTGAAAATAGGAAGAGCAACAACAATAGCAACCAAACAATAATAAAAGGGGGTGAGGGAGTGTGCAACGTTAACAAAAATAATCCAAGTAAAATATGTAGCTAAACACTTGATGAAGTGTTTATTTTGCATACCACAAAATGTTTGTTGGTTTTGTTGATGTTACGGTTAGTGCACTTGTTAGTGTAGTTGTTGTTACGATAGCATGCCTGTTCTTGCCCATTTTAGAGGGGAATATTTTTAGTCGTTGTAGTTGTAAACTTGTGGTGCTGACGGCTCTGCCAGTCCTCAGCCCTGTTGCTGCTACTGGTTCCGCTTAGTAATCCTTCTAGTTCCGGTTGTCGTGTTGTTGCTACGCAGCCTAGCTGTGGTTGTGGCGCTGGCTGTGGTCGGTTACTGGCAGCTAACAGCTGTTAACTTGGCATGCCATTATTGCTATGTTAATTGGTCTAACTTATTTTGGGACGGAATTTTACGTTTCTTGTTTTAGTTTTATTAGTTTTTTGTGTTATTGTTTTTTTTTTTTTTGTGTTTTCACTCATTTTCATAGTTTGCGGTTAGTTTGCTGGACGGTATGAGTCGACAACAATTTTCTGTGCGTTTTTTTTTTTTTTTAGTTTTGCTTTTTTTTCTGAGCAAAGTTTCGAGAGTGATGGACAAAATTTATACGCTTCGGTGAAAAGTTTGAAAATTTTAAGTGATTTAAGTTTCATAAAGGTGCTTAGTTTTTAATTTGAGTTTTGAAAAAATTATCCGCATTTTAGCGCATGGAATATTATTTTGGATAGCAGCAGGACCAGACCATGACCCATTTTTTGTTTGAAGGAGATTAAATTGGGTTTCGACATAGGTGCAATAAGTTGTGCAAATTAAATTACACTAAGAAAAAAGTAATACGATTTTTTCTCAAACAGAGTCGTTACGGGGTTTTCCATGTCAGCGATTTAAAATTTTTGTATAGAAAAACTATCTTTTAAACAAATTTGAAATGAAATTAGTTTGAACGATTGTAAAATTTTCTATTCAAATTGAACATTTGAAAACTTATTTACATACACTTCTAGTCATTTGAATAGCGCACTTTATTTAGCACAATTTAAAAAAAAAAAAAAAAATATCAATAAACGGGTGCGTTATCCTAATACCAGCAGTGAATGAGGTAGTAATATTTTTAGAAAAATTTTGGGAACACAGTTTTTCAGCCCATCCAATTTTGGTAAAATAAAGTGCAAGTTTCAAATGGTTACAACATACCGTTAATTTTTGGACTTTATTTTTTTGTTGACAGTGTCATGCATTTTCTTCCACACTCAATATGCTCTCCAAAATTTTTATGTGGAAGGAAATGCCCAACACATTCAACAAAAAAAAAAAAAAATAAAAAATAAGGGAATTTCATAGCCACTTGAAACTTGAAATTTATTATACTAGAAGTGTATGGGTTATAAAACTGTGTACCTGAAATTTTTATAAAAAATTGTGTGAACTAATTCACGGATGGTCATTAGGATAGTGCACCCATTTGTTGACTTTTTTTAGAGTGTATAAGATTTAAAATCAGATTTTAATTTTTCTTTGCTGTATAATATCCTAGCTATATTTATTAAAAACAAAAAATAATAATAAATATTAAATAAATAAAACTGTAATACTAAGGATTAAAAGGGTGCGCTATTCAAATGACGTGGAGTGTACATACATGTCTGGCTGTAGGTGAGCGTGCAGAAGTGCTTGCTGTTATTTGTTAGCTTCGAAGAGGTCCGGGTTCGAATGCCTTCAGATGAAAAATGTTAGAATGATAATAAAAATGTTTTTTTTTGTGTTTCCGAAATATGAAAAATCATCTATGAAGTGCAGTACGCAAGTGCATTCAAATGAAAAAATCACCAAACAAAAATCAGTAGAAAGTGAATTTAAGATCACTTGGGGCCAAATAATGGATGTATATTTTAGTTTGAAACAAACTCGTGTTTTTTTTTCTCTGTGTGCACAAAATGAGCAAGTAGAACTAAATGAATAAAACAACCTCCCTGAATTTTGTATCAACATTACATTTTTAAACTTTACTAATTATACTTAAGTGGCTGGAGAAGAAAACTTAAAAAAAAAAATCGTCCGAAAAAAGCTCTTATACATATTAGACGTGGATAAAGTCCAGAGCTTTTTTAAAATGTACTGACCGCTAGTTAATGGTAAAATATTGAATAAGAAAAGGACCAAAATAAACGAGGCCTTATACATTTTGGTTTTAACCTACTTTTCGCTATCTAAAGTTCAAGCTCTACACCATTTTTTTTTTTTGTTTTTCAGCGCCTTTTTCAACTTACGGATATTTTAATGTTGCGATCTTACGTTACTTTTCGGCGTCTTTCGTGTCTTTTTAAAAACCAGTCCGAATAATTTCTTAGATCTTCGGTATTTTTGGAGTTATTGATATCTTATATGTATATGTCTTTCGAGAAAATAACTGGCTTAATTTGCCTTTTATTTTTGAGGCACTGATGATAAAGTTAAATTCTTGATTTTTCTAGCTCATTTATGAGACTTTTCTGTGTTTTATTTATTTCTCGGATTTATTCCCAGACGGTCCGGTACTTTTGGAGGCTTCAATGGTTTCTACGAAAACTATGAAGTTAAAAAGAAACTGCCAATAATTTCTATAGAATTTCTTTCCAATGTTTCTGCACATTTTAGGATTTGTGCTGTCGAAAAACTTAGCGACCTTTCGGTATTTTTAGTTATTCTTTTGAGTACTTTTCTGAATTTATCAGGATTATTTCGGTAACATTTGTGTGGTTCTTTTGAGACTGTTTCGTAGTATGCGTAATGGAAGACTAATCCGTATTTTTTTTAAATTTTTCTATACTCTTTAAAATTTTTGGCGACCTATCGTGAAAGTTTCGGTATCTCTCCGACATTTTTGCGAATTTTTCGGGAAACTATTTGGGTTTTCTTTGAATTTTTTTTTTAACTCTTTAAGACTTATTTGTACGTTCTATACGTATTTTTTTTTAAAGAATTTTCGAGATTTTTCATGATATTTCCGATTCACCACAGCTATTAAGAAAAAAATGTCTATTAGAAATTTTTAGAGACCTTTCTCTGGGATTTCTTTTCGGTATTCTCTTGAGTTCTTTAGCATCTTTTTTTGGATATTTCAGGGGTTTCCGCTGCTTTTGGTTACTATTCACACGAAATTAGTTAGACTTTTTTGAAACTTTTAAATAATAATAATAACAATAATAATAATAATAATAATATATGGCACAGTATGTTAGTGTTTAGCCGAGCTTCTCCTCCGATTTGTGGCGTGCGCCTTGATGTTGTCAAACAAAGAGAAGGAACCTACACAGTGAACGGCTGGGAAGCTGTAACGTTTCTCTTCTCTTATTTTTGATGTTAGTCGGAAACTTTTATTAGCACTTTTTTAGATTTTGTGGAAATTTCTAGCCCACCCAAGGAATATGCAAAATTTCATTAATTTCGTGATCTAAAAATCTAACTAAAAATCCTTGTAGTCGTAATCTAAATCAATACTAAATATGTGACTTTTTGTGGCCACGTACTCAGCACTACATAAGAACATATAGTTAAATATTCACGCGTGGGCGGACGAATATTATTTCTTCGCATTCATATATCATTTCTATATTTTCCCTTTACTGGAAATTATATAATTATGTATATAAAGTGGAGAAAAAAGAAAGAAAGAAAATTATTTAGTAAAGCAAAATTTCCTATTGTTGCAAGTTTCACTTCAGCTAATACCTTGCTGCAGGGCAATTCTACTTATCGCATAAAATAGTACAAATTAACCAGCATACATATTTAGGTATGTGTTTTGATAATTTATTACACAACTTTTAACATCAATGCTGACTTATATTAATGCTCATTTCATTTTGCTTATACTCTTTTCTAATTTTCTGCAGTCGACTCCGAAGATCCTGAATTTACGGATGTCATTGATAATATCACAGTGCCAGCGGGCCGAAATGTCAAATTGGCATGTTCCGTTAAGAATTTAGGCTCATACAAGGTAAGTCATTAATTATAATTAATTATGAAAGATGAACATGCAAAAGGATGTACATATCTACTTACTTATTTACGAAAAATTAGAGAAAAACGAACATTATGCCTTGGACATTTGTACATATATTGCCTCAAGTAAACAAATGTTGCTATCGTGTTAATAAAATACTCAAACATATGAGCACAAAATACAGAAAATATTGCTTCTGGTAATTTGGACATAAAAATGGGATAAGTTGGATGTGTCCTCTGTGCAAATAGAAGTACATCGAACAAAGGGTTGGCGCAACAAAGTATATCTTAGCATAAGTCTTTCCAAAACGAATCTTATTCATGGACGTAATCGCAGGCTAGACTCGCTACATTTTACCCCAGATCACGTGGTCGAACAAACTCTTTTAAATAATATCATATAGCAACTTTTAGAAACGAGAATTTCAACTCCTAGTAACCCACCACAGTTTCATAGAGTTGGATCGTTGTATTCGAAGAAAGGTTTTAATATAGAAGTATGCAGAAAATCTGTCCGGTGTCCATACTCAGGATAAACCCACAGGCTGAAATCCTGTATTTTTAATCAGGAGACCCCGAAATTCTGTTGCAGAAATCTCTGGTAAGTAGACGAGCCCCTGAACGTTCGTCATACGGTAGTCTACGCCATGCAAAGTGTATGACAGTCAGGCGCCAATCACCGCCTTTAATCACCTGTAGCGAATACAATTATATGCAAATGTTTTGGGGGCAAGTCCGTAATAAATAGCGAGAAATGAGGGAGCAGACAGCTAAGCCACGGGCGGCAATCACAACTCCTCGAGAAAACAAGAGGGAGACTTTGGGCTCAAATTGATCGCAGGATGATTTCTCTTGGTTGCCATAGTCGTGTGACTAAAGTTGCGAACTAACATTTGGTATGACCTAGTTTCACGCCCTAGGCAGGACACCATCCATGTTATGTTCGTATAGTAATCCCCTCGGCTGTCGATGGTGAGAGTTTCCGAGATTTTTTCGGTCTCTCTTTGGATAGAACTAAAGAAACTTTCGGCATCTTTTGGGAAATTGTAATTTCAAGCATGGTTTCACGATTTATCTCGTTTTATTCATGGGATTCGAAATTTTTCTTCGGTACTCTTTCGAAATCGTTTTCCTACATCGCGACTCGTTTGAACTCTTTTGGGATTTTTGCCAATTTCATAGGATTTATTTGGGAAACTTTCAGAACTTTTTTGTGATTCTTCGTGTTTTGTTCGGGACTTTTCTGTTTGGTTTGTTGGGTTTGTTTTCGCGATTATTTTGTATACCTTCTACAGCTTATGGCATTCTTAGACATTTTCCGGAAATTTTTAATGTTGATATATGTATACAAATAATAAAAAACTTCGACGGTTTTGGATTCGAAACAAATTTGTAGTTATTCCCAGGCATAATTTTTTCGGCTATGTTTTATAATTTCGTGCAAAAAGATTCCTCATTCTTTTGGTACTTTGCTGAGTTTTTACTAAATTTCAGATGCCGTCCCAGATTTTTAGAAATTCTGCGACACTTTTCTAAAGATATTGCAAGATTTTTTTAGAGCTTTTCAGGATCTATAAGGATTTTTTCGAGACATTTCCGAAATTTATCAGTAGCTTTCGGAACATTTAGCTTTAACAAAAACAAATAAGATTCGTGATTTATCGGGTTTATTTGGAGCCCCACTATAAATAGTTTTTTAAGTGATTCTTTCAAGAAATTTCGGAAATGTTTATGCACCCTTCAGGGTTTTTCAATCATTTTCAGAGTTTTTAGAATTCTCTAGACTTTCACCGAGTTCTTTCGGAACTTTTCGAAAAGTTGACGGAATAATCGTTCGGAACCTTTTTGCTATTTCTGCAACTTTTTTTGGTATTCTTCCATGAGTTTTCGGAAAATTGAGTGTTTTTCACTATATTTCGGGATTTTTCCGAACCTTTTAAAAATTTTTCGGGAGCATTCCGGACGCTTGCGGGGTTTCGGGGTTTACGAGGTTTTTTTTTTGCTATTCGGAAAGTTTGCAACTTTTGACATTTTTTTCGATATATTTCGTTAATCTTTCCAACGTTTTACGAATTTTCAGATTTATTAAAATTTTTTGGGACCTTTCGAAATGTTTTCGATAATAGTTTGGGACCTTCTACTATTTCTTAGAATTTTTGCAGTATTTTTTCGAAGCCTTTGGTATTTTTTCGAAAATTTTAAATATTCTTCCTAGACCTTTGAGAAATATTCAGCATTGTTATGGAAATTTTCGGAAGTTTTTCGGTATAATTTCGAGGGCTTATAAGCCTAAGTTTTCTTTACTACTCGCGAATCTTCAATTTCCGATAAACTTTTCGGAATGTTTGCGATAATTTTTAGAACCCTTTACGACATTTTCGTTATTTTCCAAAATTATTCGTGAAGCGATGTTTTGAGCAGTTAGGGGACTTTACGTTACTAATCGTAATGTGTTTTAATACTTTTCGGGTTTTTCGGGAATTTTTAGTTCCACTACAGCTAAAAACTAGTGCAAATTACATACATATGTATGTATTACTAATTTAATTCATTCAAAATTAAAGTGAAAATACTCTAATTTCTCAATTAGGTATGTATGTCAATCCTAATTTATTTTTTTTTTCGCAACGTCCTCTGTAGTTATTATATTTAAACATTCACACAACATCCGCCGACCATTTCTTCATCGCTTGCATTCATGCATTGCCCGCTTGTTTTCGCTTTAATGCAAATTAATTCAATCATGTAAATCTATCCTGCATATATTAAGCAGTCAAATGAAGTGAGCTGCTAGCGGCCGGTTTGAAGGCAACCGGCAATTAAATATGCGTACCAATACAAAAGGGCACCTACATTTGTACTAACTAATACACACACACACACACACACACACACACACACACACACACAAGCTAGCAGACACAAATGTTTAGTATGCACATAAATACATTTATTTCAATTTCACCTAAAGTCGTAATAGCACACACACACACACACCTACATATACATATATGTATATAGACTACCGCAAGCTTGTTGCCTTCATGACTTTACTCCCGATACATTTGTAATGAAATGTTTGTAGTATGTAGGTATGTGCGTTGACTACTGTGGGACTGGCTGCCTGTTGCCTTGCTGGCCTGTTAGTGTGCTTGTTTGAGTATGCTAAGGCGCCAGAAGGTATGCAACATGTATTCGTATTATGCTACAAATGCACAAACATACATATGTATGCATATAAATGTACGTGTAGGAGGTATATTCATGAGTTCCCACGTTCAGCTTGAGCGTCATTAACATCGTCATTGCCGCAGCCGTAGCTGCCACCACCACCATCATCGTCGTCGTCGACGTAACTGTGGTCATATAGTGTTGTCATTATTGCTTCCTATACATACTAACATATTTACATATATAGTATGTACGTGTTTGCTTTAGTTGCGGCTGTATCCACCTTGTTTTCCACCACCATCTAATGAAATTAATTAGCCGCCTGTAATAATGAACCGCACAGTAACAGCAAAAAGGTAGAGCAGGAAAAGAAAGCAAAAAAAAAAATACCCAAGCAAACAACAACAATTATGAAATATAAGCACATTGAGGAAGGAAGATTCATGCGTAAGCGAAAGTTCCAGGCAGCGGCGCCACAGCACGGCCGGGAAGCGTACAGCAAATTACGCTAAAGGAGCAATGAGCGTTAATAAGCAGGCAGGAGAAGACAGGACAGGCGGAGTAGACACGACGTGTCGAGGTGAGGACAGGACAAAAACAAAAGTAAAAACAAAAACCACATGCCAGTCGACTGGGCGGCACTTTGTGGGTTTCGGTTGCGTTGCAAATTTGCTTTAATTGCTGATGGGCCACTAGTTGCCTTCGAATCTTTACGCAAACAGCCAAGAACAAGTATTTCACTTTTTTGTGCGAATATGTATGAGCATATGTACCATATAAGTAGTATGTGTGTATGTGGCGCGACCTGGCGTACTGTGCGTAAGTGTATGCATGCAATTTACATTTGTTAAGTATACACTTAAGTGGAGTCAAATGATGTTCACTTTTGCAGACTGTTGACTCATACATATACACGTACATACAAGGCAGGCGCCGGTGCACCGCAGCGTCGTCATTAGTAATTTGTAGAAAAGTATATTAGTTGGAAAAACTGAAAGCTCAGTGTCGCAATTACTTAGAATTTGTGGCAAATTGTCGGTGTGCGAGCTTTAGTAAGTAATTTTGCTGCGAGTTAGAGGAAGCCTTGGCGTACGTGGTTAATTGTGCATTGATAATTGGAACATATGTGCATTCTGGAATAAGTTTGTATGCTGAGTCTCACATTTTATTTCTCTAATGAACGTTTCGGAATAGGATATGAAACTGTGATTTCTGGTGTTTGCTTGCTTGCTCGTTCGAGGAATGCGAGGCTATTGGGCGCTGTTGATTTATATGTGTCGTTAATGCTTCTGAAAAAATTAAAATTTCATATTTGATCTGGAAATAGAAAAACCAGCGAAAGTGAAAAGGTATACAATAAGCCAGAGTCATCATCACTTAAATGGTGGGTACATTTTAGAATACCTTACATAGACTGGTCAGAATGCTTTAAGACAAGGGGCAAAAAGGTAAAACCGGTGCAAAGAGTACAATGCTTATGTCTGACTACAATAAACTTATAGGTCGTTCCCAGACGGAATCGTGGAGGCACCAAAAACAGTGATTAGCAAATCAGCCTAAGTCCATGCGCCTGCATAAATTTCTGTCGAAGGCGCCTTCCAGTGGATTATGAGCCCAAATAAAACTCGATGGTGCCTATCAGATTTTGAAATACTTGCCACTTACTGGAGCATTTCCCAAGTTATTACTTGGAAAAAGATCGGTTGATCTTTATCTCCTAAGAAAATAGGTGACCCAGACCTAGCGTAAAAACTCATAGGAGATCTGGCTTAATTTTTTGGCAGCGACAAGTTAGCGAAGGCGAATATAATTTTTACTCTA